AAAATGTTGTATATATATATATGTGTATATATATATATATATATATATATATATATATATATATATATATATATATATATATATATACACACATATACATATATACAACATGCTAACATCAAACTATTAAAAATCAAGTAGAGTACACTACTTGTGTGGCTATTTGAGAGACTGTTAATGATTCTGCCCATGAAGAGAGTTTCAAATTAGACACTTTATAGAGAATAGTCCGCGAGAAAACTCACTAGGTTTTAAAACAGAGCAATGGGGTCAAAGTTAATATTAAAATGAGGACAGACGAGCTGAACACCCACTCTAAGAATACAGTTGGGATGAATCCAGCTTTGTAGAGTAATGCAACAAATCTGAGCCAGCAAATCATGCAAATCAGCAACAGATTGAACAAAGAAGAGAAGAAAGACGCATGACGTGCCCAAAGCAGCCCACCAGCGCAGTCTCAGCCCATGCAACTTCCATTAGATGGACAGAGACTTGAAAGCCTGAAGGACAAGACGGGAAGTTTTATGGATGTAAAATGTGAAATGAAATGACTGCCAGCCTCTTCATCTGTCTCCTCATCAGCTAGAGAAAGATTTCCAAGCTCTTCTTCTGTCATTCTTAACACCTGAGGGAAACTCAGGACAGCCACGCACAGAACAATTACACTCTGAGATGAGCGGAGATCTCCTGCAGCCTCTTCCCTATTTACCTACAGGAAATGAAAGACTGAAGAGAGATGAAGTGATGTGACATCGGAAAGCCTGATGCTGCTTCACGTTTGTGAAAAAAAACAGTGACAGTGTGACAAATCGGCTCATAAGAACATGATCTCCTTAATGTCTCGATGTTTTCTCACAGATTTAGAAGATTTGGTGGATTAGATTTGGTGGATTAGTAAAAAAACAAAAAAAAAAAAAACAAAGTGCAAATGGAGACTTTTCATTGAAGTCAACATGAAGACCACTGGTGGCATATTTCAGAGTCGAATAGGATATTTAGCGTTTAAAACAACTAATATCTTCCATTGAGAACAGTGTTGTTTTTGTTAAATAAATCTAAAACTATTAATATTAAATTTCATTCATTGAAATAAAGCTGAAATAAAATAGAAATATTAGATAGAAAACTTAAACTTAAATTAAAAAAAAATGTGAAATGTTGCCTTGTCAACTAGCTGAAATAAAATAAGTTATGTAGTAAACTAATATGAAAATCTGTTAACTGTATTAGTTAACATTTACTAATGCATTATTAAAATCAAAAGTTGCATGTGTTAACAATAGTTAATATACTATGAACTAATATGAACATTTTTATTAACAGTAAAACATGAACAATAAATGCTGTAAAATAATGCTTTTCATTGTTAGTTCATGTTAGCTAATGCATTAACTAATTAACCTTATTGTAAACTGGATGTAACGATTCACTCAACTCACGATTCAATTTGATTCACGATTTTGATTTCACGATTCGATTTTCTCACGACTTTTTTTTAACAAAATGAGATTAAAAGACATTATATACAGTAAATTAACAAGTGTCGTTTTATTAGGCTATTGCTGCACGTTTCTTTGTGAAATTGAAATGTAACAAAACTAAATTGAAATTTTAAAACAAACCCCAAATCAAACAAGTAAGTTACACACAAATAAAATAAATCTCTTAATATGAACAAACTAAGGTCTTTGCTGCTTCTGTAAAGATACACGCATAAGCCTCCATTGAATAAATATAGCCAAAATCCGTCAAAATCCCACCAAAATCCGTTGCCATGACTTATCGCGAGAGGCAAAAGGTTACGTTTTAGCCGCATAACATTGGTTAATGGAAACGCCGTCATTTCGCAATACTTTTTTTTTCAATACTTAAATAACAGACTTTAGTTCTGTTAAACTATACTGCATAAAAGATGCAGCATACATGCAGCATGAGTTTTTAATCTAAATTAGACTGTATAATTTAGAAATTTGAAGCAAAAACAGAATGGTCTGACTTTAGTTCTGTTAAACTATACTGCATAAAACATATCTGAACGAAAGAGCAGACGCGCTGAATGAGACGCAGATTCACTTTCTGACAGCAGGTGGCGCTCATGGAACAGCAGTGAACAAGGTTACCGCTGTAAACAAAGCAGCGCTGCGCTTATGAACACTATTTTAATATGCATCATTCAGAGGCAAGATGAAAAGAAAATACCACGTAAACTTTTCTAAAGATATTCAGTACCCCCTCAGACATACATTCATATAAACTCCTACTCCAATTGTATCGTGATTTGTTTGGCATCTCAACCGATTTGAATCGTCACATATTTGAATCGATTTTCGTCCGGCTCGCGGTTAATCGTTACATCCCTAACTGCTACCCTTAAACTTAATTTTTAAAAAGACAAATTTTTAAAAAGTTTAAATTAAAACATTTAAACATTTAAAATGAAAACTGAAAATTCAAATTCAAAATATTAATAAATACTATAATAGTGTATATATATATAACATTAAAACAACACTGATTGACAATTAATTGGATGGTATACATTGTCTTTATATGTCAGGTGGTTGAAAAATAAATAAGAAAGTCATAATAAACATAAGTGAAATAAGCCGAAAGAAAAGTTATAAGATGCTAAAAGATTATAAAAGCAAACATTTACTTTAAAAAAAAAAAAACTGTTAAATTAAATCAAATCCATTTTATGTTGACTTTAAAGTCTCCTGCTTCTCAAATGTCTCTCCTGATGTGAAAAATAAACAGTAATCTCACATATTTCTCCTCTAGGGTTTCAAAAAGTATCTCAAAGTGTGCTATCAAAAGCCAGAAATCTCAATATGAACTCAAACATTTCTCAACAAATGATCTGAGCTGCTTTTATGTCATTGACTCACGTATGTCTGTTTATTTCTCCTGATGAATTTTAGATGAGACATCTGAGACAAAGTTGATAATTAAATGAACAACAACTGAGAACTAAGAGCCATGAAACAGCAACGTCCCTGGGATTTGATGACATTTTGCTAAACAGACAGACGGTGTTATTAAAAATGATAGATTATAGTCCAATGACTAAAACGAGAAGTCTGACGAATGCGAATACTTTCAATACAAAGGGGAAATGATTCGTTATGCTTTGCTGACAGTCACACAATGGGTGCGGTGGAAGAAAACAAAACATGAAAAGTCCTTGCTGATTGTCATGACATGTCATTTAAGTCACAATGCCGTTTTTCTCTGTAATAGGGCCTGTGATGTAAAGTGAGATCTGCGTAGGTTGGAAAGTGTTGCGCTGAATTGGCTACAATAACAAGTCAAGTTCTTTTCAATAACGAGAAGTTCTTCCACGGTCACATACAGATAAGATTGACGGTTTAGCGCAGTGAGTCACTGTGGGTTATTTCTGAAACTGGTAAGAATCCATAGCCAGCG